ACTAATTTAGCTAAGTATTGATGTTCCAATACTTAGCTAAATTATATACTTTTAAAAACAACCTATACAGTTAGTGTAATGAATATTCTAATTAATATAAACAATAATGAAAAATACCGAAATTTAAAGTCAATTATTATATAATAAACTAACATGATGATAATATTTAAAACAAATTTAGTTATAAATTATGTCATAAATAAAATAATTATAGTGTTTTATTTAATTAAAAATCAAATTGTAACATGTGTCCAATAATCTTAGTTCTTTATTTCAATAATAAAAAATAACATTTAAGATATAAAAGATACAGATAAAGTATGAAAACATCAAAATTAACAATCAAACTATAGTTGTTCAAACATCAAAAAATATCTTACAATAAAATTAATAATTGTATGTGCATGTACCAACCATCAAAGTGATATGTTTTATGATATTAATAAAAATTGATATAAATCTTAGCTTGCTATATTATAATAGGATATTAAATGATTTGGTGTTTGTATAGTGTAACTAGGTTAATTATTTAAAGATTACAAGTGTATTTAAAACATACAGATGCTTCAAAAAATTGTAGTCATTTCATGTTAAAAAATTTTTGAACAAATAAACCCGTATTTAATTGAATGGAAGCATGTTTCTAACACAATATGATTAACATACCCAAATAATTATTTTCCACTCTGCAAAATCTTATTATTTACTAATATGGATATTTTCCTTTCCCCATTAAGCTATTGATTCTGAATGTGTCATATAAGAAAAGTATATAATTGTTTGTCTTGATCTCAAACATAAGGTATTATAATCTTCTCAGGTTACCAAATTGTTTACATAAAATAAACTTAATATGGTAATAACAATAAGCAATATTACTAAAAACATTTTTCTCGTATCATAATCTTTTAACAAAAAATATTTTAATTTGTATAGTGCGTTATCAGCAATTTTATGTTTTGAGGTTATAACATGGACGTGTAAAACAAAAAGAATATATTTGTATTGTACTGTTGAATTAGTCAAATAAATAGTTTTACTTAACATGTATTATTTACTGAGTCTTAAACAACAACAAATATAATGAGTGTTCGGAGTTTATTAACCAAATATTAATTATTTACATTTATAATTGAAAATTGAAAATTTTAATACTGTGTGATTATCTTTTTATGTTATTATATTTTATCTTAAGAATACAATAGTTTAAATAAAACATAATTATATCTATATTGAAAAAGGACTTGATCCTGAAAAAGTATTCAGCTTTACTTTTTAAATGCACTAATTTTACAACACCAATAAATAGTTATAACTAGTACTATCAAATCAAAAAAGTAAAAAGCCGCATTTTGTTAATGGATGATACTGTTAAAAAATTTAAATTTTGCATAATATTTCAACATTTTTATACAAAAATATTTTGAGAAAGTACATAAGGATTTCAGATAGAAAATCTCTTATCTAGATATACTGATAGAACAAGATGATTTTTGCTATTTCCTTTTTATATCTGTGCCGTTGCTTTTTTAATTTATAGTATTAACTTTAATAATGCGCTTTATTATATAAATTAGTGTGTTGTTTCGTCTTTATTTTAATTTTTTTTGGAGAGTATGTTTAGAGATTAATAATGCTGTTGTTGAAGATTTGAGTGACTCACAAGGAAGAGGCAGGATTTTTAATCTTTGTATTGGAATGGCTAAAGTCTTTTTAATTATATTTTGAATGGATATCTTATATTTTTATTTTTAGGCAAGCCAAAAAGCAGCAGATAACATAGTCTTACTATATTTATATCAAAGGTATTTTTATTTAAACAAAAGCATTAATATTCTAAATACTATCTGCACATTCAAAATAAAATATTTGTAAAAGTTTTGTGGTTTGTTTAGCTAATTGCTATCTGCACCATAATATCTTGTTTTTCGAGTTTAAAATTAAAATGACTTTAAAAAATTAAATTTTTACTAATGATTATAACATAATAAAAATATACTATATATTATTGCATGTTGCATTATTACACAGAGAGATGTTTTAAGTTGCTATACATTATAGCGTAAATTTCCTGATAGGAACTGATATTATTAAGTTATTTTTGATTTCAAATGGTTAATGAGATTCTGGGATTTGACGTTCCTATCATTCGCTAGTATGTTATTGACATACTAAATTATCTTTATATAAATATTGTTATTAAAGTATATTTTATTATCCACTAATTAAACCATTTCCTGTTGTGGATTTTATAAAGTATCAAATATTATGTTATGCAGGTGTTATATTCATATATGTTAGATCTCAAGAGAATCTTCTACAAATTTAAATTCATTAAAAACCTACTTATACTTCGATCCATAAAATATTATTAATTATAAATTTATTCATTGCACACAAAGATTCATATCAATAACAAATTATTTTTGGTTGCATTAACAAATCAGCATTATTTAAAATATTGATTATTCTGATTTAATACATTCTTAAAATAATTTATTTGGAATTACAAATAAGTTTTTTTTATTTTAAACATATTTTATAGTAGTTAATTGTATTGTCCAAAAAATAACTTGTGGTTTTAAATGATGCTTTATTCTTTATTTGACAAATGTTTTTGAGTGCAAAATAATGCGTCAAAAAGGCTCAAAAAATTGTTTAATAAATATGTAATGGTGATTGTTCCACTTTAAACAATTGAATAATGTTATTGTTAATAAAGAAGGACAGTGTACTAATTATCACAGTTTAGTCTCTTCTAGACTTTTTAATCGACGATAAAAGTTTGAAATACACAAGTGTATGATATGAATACATAGAAATAGTGCAAAGCCACAAAATTCAAATTATTTCACAATCTTATTTTTTCTCACAACAAAAGAGTAGAAAAGATATAAAAATAACTGAAATATAACGTTCAACTTTGCAAACCAATTATTTTTAAAACCACAATATTGTTTATATATTTTCTTGAATTTTCTATCAAAACTTTAGCTATTTAAAAATCGCCATGCATTTGATAACTTCATAAAATATGGTGGTATATACAAATCTTGTTGGGTGAACTTTATATTGTGTAGCATATAACTTAAACTTACATGAGTTATCAATACAATCGCTATTTCAAAAATGTTATTTAGCATAAAATAAAGGAAAAGAACCATTTTATATTAATTAAGTAACCATGCATATTATATGATACAACATCTTTATATTTGACACTATATTTTAATTTTTTTAAACTTAAATGCATCCATTCTGCAATCGATATAAAACAAGTGTGAATTTTAAAATACATCCTTAAAAAATCTTANTATATACAAATCTTGTTGGGTGAACTTTATATTGTGTAGCATATAACTTAAACTTACATGAGTTATCAATACAATCGCTATTTCAAAAATGTTATTTAGCATAAAATAAAGGAAAAGAACCATTTTATATTAATTAAGTAACCATGCATATTATATGATACAACATCTTTATATTTGACACTATATTTTAATTTTTTTAAACTTAAATGCATCCATTCTGCAATCGATATAAAACAAGTGTGAATTTTAAAATACATCCTTAAAAAATCTTACACTTTCTATAGTTTATTATTAATAAGCTTATAGTAAGTATAATTAAAGAAGTTTAAAGATGTCAGGTTCTCGGTTCATCATTGTTCTTAATGGCATTAACATGTGCTCTTACCAACATAGTCATTTTTATAATTAAAACAGGCACATGTGCAAATTTAGACATTCTATTTTATAGTATATTTTAAGCATTTAATTATTACATACTAAATTTTTAATTTTTATCTATTTGGTTTAATTATTATCTATTTGGTTTAATATTTATAATTTATTTAGTTTTTAGCAAAATTTCTTCCTCTGGTAGAAGAATTAAGGAATAAAAAGGTTGTTTAGCAATTTATTTTTAGGTTCCTCTATTATGGATTGTGATGTTCAACGGGATTTTCTTAGCAGAGACATAAAATGTCTTAATTTCATATAGAAGTTTTCTTTTATGTTAGTATATTAATGTATTCCTTTATCTCTTTAGATGTAATTTTCTTCTAATTTAAGCTATACGTAGTTATTTATCAAATAGGTTTACCTGTGATCATACCTTGC